TTTAAGAGATCTACGCCCGGCCTGGTGACCCTAGTCACCATATCACAATGTATACCTGAAAATGGCCGTGACAGGAGATGTTAAGTCTTCTCACCACAAAAAAATGGATAAATGTGTCAGGTAACAGATGCACTAATCAGCTTAATTTAGCCATTCCACATACTTATATCAAAATGTCACGAATATGAACAATTTTTATTTCTCAATGAACAAATAAAACAAAAGGAACTAAAGATGAAGACGGAAAGTACATGAGGCAGTTCAATCAATCTCAATCACCTGAGCTGATGACTATTCCATATGGACTTTAAAATATGCAGAAAACTTTAAAACATGAAATAACATATAAATCCAAAGAGGGAAATAGAATTAAAAATGTTTTTGGTTACTTGCAGTTGTTCAGGAAAAAGGTAAAAGTAGCCAAGAACATGAGATCTTGGTGAGTCTAGGAGACACATTGTCATCCACTAACAGCTGGAGGAAGAGGGTGTAACTATAACACTGAGCAATGGAGGAAAAGAATTTCTTAAAGCCTTAGCCCAAAAGAAGTCAAGCAAGAAGAGGAGGTTCACAGAGCAGTTAAAACAAGCAGCAACACTGAGTAGTAGATTTAAGCTGAATCATCAGAAATTATATTAAGTGTAAATGGGCTAATAAGTCCAACTAAAGTACAGGGATTTCCATGCTGAATAAAAGAAGAAAACCCAGGTTTTTAAAAAAATATATGTGTGTTTGTTTGTTTAGACAAGAGTCTCACTATGTGGTCCAGGCTGGCCTTGAACTCCTGGGCTCAGGTAATCCTCCTGCCTCAGCTTCTAAGTAGCTGGGACCACAGGTGCACATTATGTGTCTAGCAGGTTATATGCTTTTTATAAGTAATATATCTAAACTATAAGCATGCAGGAAAGTTAAAAGTTATAAAGAATACATGGTGCAATCCCTAACCCAAAGAAAGCTGGCCACTGCTATAACAATACTAGTAGATAGCTTGCATATTACTGTATGGTACGTCTTTAAAATGAACATTTCCATAAAGGTAAAGAAGTTCATGTCTTATTAAAAAGTAGTTGAATTTAACAGTAGCACACATTCAGACACACAGGTGTGTATAATCTGTAATATATATGCTTATTATATTCATTTGTTTGTAGCTAGTCTAAATTCATAGTTTCTCTGCTCAGAGTGGTTAGGCTACCCTACAGGATGACAGCAAGATGCTTGGGGCTGAGGTTAAAAGGCAGATGTCACCTGGGAAGAGCAGCACGTGACTTGAGGTTGCTAAGGATAGACAGTATAGAGAAGACCACATAGGAAGAGGGGAGAGAGTACATGATAGATCCAGCCCCTTGCAATGCACTGGCCCCAATGGCCAGTGGGTCTGTTCTGCAGGTGACAGATGACGGTGTTCACTAGCTGCATGCTGCAGTGGAAGGCCTCCCCTCACCCCAGAGAGCTGCCAGAGAGCTGGGGATGTGCCTGAGGGCCTCAATCCAGGTCCTCGAGCAGAACAGAGCATGCACAAGACTGGGCACAAGACTGGACTGGGAAGCATGTTCCCTCACAGGACAAAAAGTCCAGCTTAAGCTGTGTGGGCTCCTTTTTATAAGTAATGTTCTAGGCCCAAGGCCCACCCTTGTATAGCTGAGCAGGAGTGGACAGACTTCAGGACTGCCTTTCTAGACAGACATAGACAAAATCTGATAGAATTACAAGAAGTTTATAAATCTATAATACTGGGTTTTCATACATTTCTTGTAGTAAATGATGAAATAGGTAGACAAAATTAGATATCTTCTATCAGTAAGGACACAGGAGACATGAGGAACACAGTGAGCAGACTAGCCAACAATACTGCACTGAGCCTTGACCTGTCCTGGCATCCTCAGGAGTTGCTGTCCTCCTTCCTTCAGGGGCTCTAGGACCACAGACTTACTCAGGATGGGAGTGGATGAGAGGCTGTGATGTCAAGCCAGGCATTGACTTGCTAGGAAGTTAGTGGGTGGTTTTCTTAGTTCAGTTCCTGGTCGACACCTTCTCCATAAACATGGTCACAGAGAACACGCACGGTCACCATCACACCCCAGATATGACTCCATAGGTAAAGGAAAGGAAAAGCTCTGGAGTAAGAACAGCAGTTGTGCAAGTGGAGGTGGTCCCCCTGTGGCAGGCTGCAAGAGCCTGCTGATTCTTTTGGCCATTGTCTCCTTTTCCCTTTGTAGTCAAGGTCATTTAACTGGTGTCTCCTTGGCCCCCTCCACAGCTTACCCAAACCCCCACACCTGATAATTTAGGGCAGGGTCTCTCAGTTCCTCACCGACCACACTACTAACATTTGGGGTGGAACACTGGTTGGGGTTGTCTTGTGCATTGCAGGATGATCAGCTGTACCCTGGACTCCAGATGCCTGTGTGACCCAGTCCCACTTCCCAACGACCAGAGAGGTCTCTAGATGTTGCCGGATGTCCCAAGAGGAAATGACCTTTTGTTGAGAACCACGGGCTTAGCTGTCTAACCATGAGAAGTAAACATTAAAATATTTGTGTAGAATATGTAAAACCACCTCACCCTTGTGTTTATGGCCCCATAATTATCCTTCACGTGGCTACATCATAACTTATACCTTAATCCTGCTTATTCTAACACATTGTTTCCAATTTGTGCTAGTTTGTTATGTTGAATTTGTACCTAAAAGGGAGGTAATATAGCTGAGTAGTAGAGTAGCACACAATAAGGGAGAAACTTAAACATAATCTCTTGAGGGCCTCATTTATTCTTTCTTGGTTATGATTCCCCCCTGCCCCGCAATATCCAAAGCCAATCCTGACATGTGGTATTTATTCCTCCTACAAAGGCAACTGGAGTGAGGACTTATATAATGGATAACAACAGGTGTGATTACAAGGCTTAGCACTTTATTCAGAATCAAATATGGGAGGTCAGAACGCAACAGAAGGGAGGAGCAGTACTCCTGAGATGAGGTCTTGGGAAACTCCCTAACTTGCTTTCCCTGATGGAAAACAAGCTGGCTAAGTGCCAACTCTGTGTCTGAACCTGAAGCAATGAAACAAGAAAACAGGAGGGATTGGCTTGCAGGTTGCCAGAGGTTGCAAGATGTTTCCTGACAAAAGGTGTAGCTACATTTGGGACACTTGGCAAACCTGCCATATGCAAATAAGTGCTGGGAAAAAGCCCTGGGGATTCACCTCCACCAAGTGCTTTGAGAAGTCCTTATAGGTTATGAAACTAGTGCTCTAATCATGAAATCTATGGGAAGCAGTTCAGGTGACAAAGCTGTGGCAAAACAGCCCAGGGCAGTGGTGACTGCAGAAAGGAAGGAAACAGAAGAGATCTAGGTTTTGCAAAGTTGAGGTCCTGGGAGCTGCTATTAGGAGATAGGAAAAATACCCTTTTCCCATAGAGACCGACATGGGTTCAATTATATTGTTATATCGTGTGCATGTATGAATGTGTAACAAACCCCACCCTTATGTACAACTTTAATGAACCAATAAAAGATATGGAGAAAAATCCTTATCCTAGACTTTTTTTTGTTTTTGTTTTTTTTTAAAGCACTGACTTTATAAATGTTCTAACTACTGGATTCCTTGAGGCTAGAGGAAGTCACATTAAAACTACTACATTTAGGGGATGGGGTTGTGGCACAGTGGTAGACTGCACTGGGTTCAATCCTTAGCAACACATAAAAATGAAATAAAGATATTGTGCCCACCTACAACTAAAAAAATGTTTAGAAAAACTACTACATTTATATCAGTCTTTTTAAATTTTCCATAGCCTTGTCACCTCTAATCAAAGGGTAGTGGTTGGCTGGGGTTGTGGCTCAGTGGAAGAGAACTTGCCTAGCACATGTGAGGCGCTGGGTTCAATCCTCAGCACCACATAAAAAAATAAATTAATAAAAATAAAAGGTATCGTGTCTGACTACAACCATATATATATACACACATACATACACACACACACACATACATATATATAAAAGTAGTGGAATACTGGTGGGTGTCAACCAGGGTCGGAAGTCACACACTCGGGAGAAACATATGCCTAATATCCACATGCAGGGTCCCCAGGGCCTCCTTTATCTGCAAGGAATCTGGCTAGTCAAGCTCGAACTCAGCGCTGCAAAGGTGTGCCGAGCTTCCGTGGGGTTACTCTCCTAAGAAAGGAACACTCCCAGGGCTCTCCTTTTTGGGGGGGGGGGGGGGGGGGGGGGGGGGCGTGTACCAGGGATTGAACTCAGGGGCACTGACCACTAGGCCCCATCCCCAGCCCTATTTTGTATTTTATTTAGAGACAGGGTCTCACTGAGTTGCTTAGGGCCTTGCAGTTGCTGAGGCTGGCTTTTAACTCAGCCTCAAGCCTCAGCCTCCTAAGACGCTGGGACCTCAGGCCTGCGCCTCCGCGCCTGGTTTCGGGCACTCCTGATAGGCCTCGTCACTAACACGTGCAGCAAACCCGTCATCTGATGCGCCTTCGCTTCTAGCTCAACAGGAAGGCTGCATGCAGTACGTGCTTGCAAGTGGGCGGCGGGCCGAGCGTGGCTCGGGGGTCGTCGCGATGGTGCAGCCAGCGGGCTGCGGGCCCTTCGCAGGACCCCAGCCGGCGGTGCTGCCGCCAGCCCTCGAGGGGGCGCCGTGCGGAGGTCTGAGGCTCACGCCCGGAGCCGCGACCAGAACGCCCTAGGCCTCAAGTCCTCGCAGAAGCTCGTCTCCCGAGGGCGGCCGAGCGCGGGCCCAGGTACTTTGCCGGCGCCCGTCGGACTTCCAGGCTACAGTTGCGTCCGAGCGCCCAGGTTGCGCGCACTGCGCGGAGGGCAGCAGCTCCGGGAGGTGGAGGTGCTTCGGCAGCGGGGCCGGAAACGTGAGCGGCCGGGAGAGAGCCGGCGAGGACTCGGCACGTGCGCCGGAAGTGTGCTCGGCCCAGGGAGCGCCGGCGACAGAGCCGGAAGTGTGCGCGGCCGGGAAGCGCCGCGAGCGCGCTTCCGGTGTGCGTGGCCATCACGCGTCGCGCGGTTGCCCCGCAGGCCCTTGTCCTGTCTTGTCCACCGCTGCGCCGGCGCTGTGCTGCGTTCCGCGGCCTGCAGTCTCCGCGCGTCCCAGCGAAGGCGGCCCGACATGAGCGGCAAAGAAGGTGGCGTTCGCGGAGGGTTCGGGCGCGGGCGCGGTGACCGTCGGGTCTCGGGCTGCGCCGCCGTCCGATCGCAGCGGCCGCGCCTGCCGCCGGGAGTCCCGGGGAGCCCGGGCGCGGGAGGCCGGGGCGGGAGGGCGCGGCGGCGCGAGTCCACCCAGCGCCCCTCTCTTCCGCACAGGCCCGGGCGGCTTCAGGAAGAGGAAGCACGACAACTTTCCGCACGGCCAACGCAGAGAGGGCAAGGATGTGAGCGCGTCGTCGCCAGTGATGCTGGCCTTCAAGTGTAAGTGCCCCGGGCTGGCGGGCGGGGGCCGGCCGCAGCGCGTCCGTGTGCACCTGCTTTCCCGGGCTGCCGCGGTGGGCACGCGGGTGGCTCTGCCGGGAAAGCCTGAAGTCCATAGGCGTGACTCCAGGGCCCGCTGCCCCACGCTGGCCTGAGGGCACGGGTGAATGGCAGGCAGTGGGTACTGAGCACGGCACGGGCCTGGACGTTGCCCTGGGCCTGGGTCGTGGTGCCTCGGCTGGTTGCCTAGCATGTTCGTGTTCAGTGTGTGTTCGTTTTGTTAACCAGTCTTTTGAAGGCAGACTGATGTGACCTGGCACGGGATGGGAACGTTGTTAGTGAATTACATACGCGTATAGATCCACGGTCGCCTTGTTCTCAGCCTACTAAACTGATCAGGTTTCTCCCCATTTTGAAACCACAAGACAGAATCCTTCCTCTGCCCCCTCTGTCTGCTGACCTGTACTGCATAGTTTCTGTGGTTCAGTAACAAGGAAAGTATTCACCTGGCCGGTTCTGACTGGCAGTCATTGAAAGCTAGATTGGGGCTTGAGGGATTGAGCTGTTCACAGTCTAAGCCTTCTGACTACAAGCAGCTGTCTGTTCCTGGCCATAGAGCTGCGGGAGTGTCCTCATGAATGGCACCTACTTTCCCTAGAGAGAATAAGGAGGAAACCACGGGCCCTTAACCTGCAAACCTCAGACATCACACACTATCACTTTTACCACATTGTATTTGCTAGAAGCAAGGCAATTTTAAAACCACCTCATGTTTAAGGGGAAAGGAATTAGGTTTCATTTTTTTTAAAAGGGGAGAGTCTCAGATAGTTTGAGGCTAGCACAGTACCTACAGTGATCTTCAATGATTCAAGAAAATTAGCTGTAATTGAACAGAGAGCATACTGATACAGCTTCGTACAGCTTGGAGTTGCTCCTAATTCAGTGCCTTCATTGCCTATTTGATGAATCACGATTTTCTCTGAGATCTGGTTCAAGTAGCTTGTTGGTGGTAAACATGTTCATTATCCATCCACTTAGTGAAGAGATGGTTATTGATATCTTTCAGCTAAACCTAATATGTATATTTGCTATAACACAATTACATCTTATTTATTTGTTTTATCTCTGATACTGGCCTGAGTTCCTTGAGGATAACAATTGTATCTTATCTAATTTTATATTAATTTTGTAAAATTAATATATCCAGCTCACAGTGAGCCTTAAAGTATTCATAATACAGTGTATGATTAAATAATAAATGTCTATTACCTTGAAATATTGGATGAAATCTTGGCCTAATTTCATCTTAGTAATAAAAGCTGCTTATAAAAATTATAATTGAGGTCCTGGCCAGCTACTAACTTGGCTAATAGTTTATTTAAGTTCTTGCTTTTTAATTCTTGGCAGAACACATCTGTCGATTCTCTATAAGCCAGGCAACTTCTGGGTCTTTGGAGTGAAAATGCTTCTGAAATAAGGTCATTAATGAGAGAAGTAAGTGGTTTATGGGCATTTCAATGATGATGCTTGAGAATTTGGAAAGTTGATACTTGAAATTTACCGAGTAGCTCTGAAATACTCTCAGCCACATAAAAATAGACCTTTGTGAGGTGATGGTTGTGCTCATCAGCACAAGGATGTCACGATGTTCATGTGTACTAGCATCAGGTTGTATGCTGTATGTATTCATGATCATTTTTTGGTGCTAGGGATTAAACCCAGGGCCTTGTGCATGCTGGAAAAGTGCTCTGCCGCTGAGCTACATCCCCAACCTGTGTGCACAATTTTGATGTGTCAGTTATAGCTTGGTGAAGCCATGAGGACAGGAAGACAAGCAAAGAACAGGAGAAAGTCATCAGTGTGAAAAAGGCATTTCTTTTCTAGAGATATACATATTTTATGTGGAAAGCTAATTTATCTTAATTAAAGGTAATTTTTGTAAGCAGTTAGTGTCATTTTATGATCACATCTCATGTTCACAAAGGTGGGCATGTCTTTACATTTTTCACAAAATGCTCATTGTGAGCCTCCTCTGTGGGAGAACCCAAGTAAGGCATGTCTGCAATTTAAGAATATTTTGGTTTCTAGTAGAACCTTTGATTTCCATGTACTTTAGAAATAAGGTGATTTTGTCCTTTTCATTTTTATAGAGTAAATAATTGTTTTGTGCATATTAATATTTTTAAGTGCAGTTTTTGCCTTCTAGCCATTTTGTATTCTAAGCAAATTAAAATGTTCTCCTCCAAGATTGCCAAGTGTCCTTGTAAAGATTATAGGTCTGTGGAAGGAGGTTTCAGCAGAGGTCTTTCTTTTTCTTTTAAGTTGTAGATGAACACAATAACTTTGTTTTATTTATATGTGGTGCTGAGGATGGAACTCAGTGCCTCACACATGCCAGACAAGTGCTCTACCACTGAGCCCCAGCCCCAGCCCCAGGAAGGTCTTCAATGAGAACACTATCTTACAGAGAAAATGTGATGAGATGATGTTGTTGGTTAAACTTAAACCCAAGATGCTTCAGGAAATACTTTGCTGTCAAAGGTATACTTACTTCATTAAAAGGAGTCATTAGATGAATATTTTACTACTGTTGACGCATAAGAGTAAAGAAACTTAAAATCTTATTTTATAATATCAGTTTTTTTTAATCTTGGCAATTCATACATTTGAATCAGTTGGGGTATAATTTCTCATTTTTCTGATTGTACAGATTGCAGAATCACATTACAATATCAATTTTATTTTTAAATATTTTTTAGTTGCCAATGGATTGTTCTGCTTTTCTGCAGATAGCGGGATATGAGGGAAGACTGTGCAGCAGATTGAACAGTGCTTTAGAACTCATTTGTATCAGTAGCTCTAATGAATAGTTATAGTGTGAATTCCAGCAGCATAACATCCATTTAGAAAGGCTGCTGTCCACTAGTTACAGGGTAGGACAGTTCATTGCATACTAGAGGCAGTGCTCAGTGGGCAGGTGGATTTGTAGTATCTTTTCATAAATTTTATTTATGGGACATAGCATGCCACTGGCAGGTGGTGGATTCATTTTAAACTGTAGATGTGCTCTTGTCCAGCATGTTGTACTACGGTGACTTTAGCTAGCAAGTCAAGTGTTTTTCAACATCTATCTCTGGGCCTTCACCGCTATCCTGTGCTCTGAGGATGTGGTGGTGGGGACAGAGCTCTTGCCTTCCTGAATGAACCAGTTAACACACTGATAAGTAGACAATAGAATGTTAGCTGGTGAAGCATAAATGTTGGGAAATAAGGAACCAGCGAAGCATGGTCAGGGTCTGGAGAGGAAGTGAGAAGGGGCAGCTGCCATTCTGAGTGATGAAGTGTGGACCACGAGGTGGTCGGTGGGAATGGTGTTACAGAGAGGCAGCAGTGTGAATCAGGAGCAGCAGGAAAGCAGGCCAGGGGAGGTGTGATTTCACTATTTGAATATCTTGGATTCTGCGCATTATTTTTCCTGCAGGTGATCTTAATATGTCTACAGACTCCTGGTGTTCGACTGTTTTAGTTAATGTTTTTTTATATATGTGTATGTTTGTGTAGTATAATAAAATGAGCTTTGTATTCTAGAAAAGGTAAAACATTTTCTTTCAATTAAAATTATACCTTTTTCTCCATTATAAGTATACCAATGCCTCAGATGGGGTCTTTTAAAAAGTAATAAAAATAATTTTGTTACTTGCTACAAATTTTAGTAAGGAAAACATCTTGAACTGAAACAGCAGTTCATGGTGAAGAGTTTATTAAAAAAGCTTAAAAAACACTTTGTATTTGATAATATTAAATTAGATTTTTTGTAAATAAAGGCAATTAGAATAAAAATCTTTCCTAATATTTGTCAAAAGCAATTTGAGCAGAAGAAATGAAAATTTATTAGTTTAAAAGCAATTATATTTCACCAGTATAAACAGAAATTCCCTTCAGTAGTGCCTTGAGCAATAATTGCTCATACAGGGTCAGGAAAAACAGTAAGTATAGGAGTCAGAGTGGTCACATTCAAGCAAAGGATGTTTGGGGCGAGACGTTTTAGAGATTGTGCAATGCCTTGTTCTATAATCAGGAAGGAAAAGAGGAGTGAAAGTGGGGAAGGAGACTCTCGTGGTTACATAGTGTTGTCTCTTCACAGTGTCAGGATGAATCATCAGACAGGATACCACAGCTGTTTTCAGCCTCCCCTTGTTCTTGGGAACTCTTACTTTCTAGTTTTTTCCTTGGTTCTCCTCTTCCTAGATTGATCGGTTGATTTCTTTCTTTCTTTTTTTTTTTTTTTAAATATTTTTTTTAGTTGTAGATGGGACACAAAATCTTTTTTATTTATTTATTTTTATGTGGTGCTGAGGATTGAACCCAGGGCCTCATACATGCAAGGTGAGTGCTCAGCCACTGAGCTACAGCCCCAGCCTCTGGTTGATTTCTTTCTTTCTTTCTTTCCTCCTTTTTTTTTTGGTGTGGTGCTGGGCGTTGAACACAGGGTCTTGCACATGCTAGGCAGACACTCCACTAGTGGGCTGTGTCCCAGCCCCCTCTTTCTAGATTTCTTTTCTTTTTTTTTTTTTTAATTTTGTTTTTAATTGTAGGTGGACACAATATATTTGTTTTACTTATTCATCTTTATGTGGGGCTGAGGATAGAACCCAGTCCTCGCACATGCTATCCAAGTGCTCTGCTACTGACCCCAGCCCCAGCCCCTCTTTCTAGGTTTCTCACATCCTATGTTGTCTGACTCAGTTCTTAGCTGGTCTTCGCTTGGTCTTATTAAAGTTGTGATGTTTCTGACTGCATTTTCAGACTGACTTTCCCATGACTTTCTCTGGTTTGCTGAATACTTTATGGTTTATCCCTGTAGTTAAAATAAAACCAATTCATATAATGATTGTGAATTTTTAATCTTTTTTTCTCTTTATTTCTTGAAAATAGTATTTTTTCAAGTACATTTGGTTTGAATGCAGTATAGTAACAAGGTGAAATAATGTGCATTTTAAGTTCACATGGTTTATTTATTTTTTTTAATTTTTAAAAATATTTTATTTTTTAGTTGTAGTGGACACAATACCTTTATTTTATTTTTATGTGGTGCTGAGGCTCAAACCCAGGGCCTCGCACATGCTAGGCCAGCGCTGTGGCGCTGAGCCACAAGCCCAGCCCCCAGGTTCACATGATTTATAATAAATTGACTGGAGTATTACTAGATACTTATGTGTGATAGTCATATTTTTAGCTTTTAAGGAACCGAGGTGTAGTTCACAAAGCTCCTTTCATCTTCATTTAGTTCACCAGTGCTGCTTTAATGCAGTTCATGGGCTCTGTTAGCCTCAAGGATTCATGAATGGTGTGTTTCTGTGCCTTGTTGTCATGTACAGAAAGGTATTTGGAGGACAGTGTCCTGCCTCCTGTGTTTGAGACTTAGGTGACTGCGTGTTCTGCTCATGTTTCTCGTCAAGTGAAGGCAGATGGCTGCGACCACGCCTGCATTCGCCTCGCGTTCTGCTGTGTGAGTCGCTAGGCTTGAGTGAGCGCGCACCTGCTTATGGTCATCTGTGTTCTCAGCGTTTCAGCAGGAACTGGATGCGCGGCATGACAAGTACGAGAGGCTGGTGAAACTCAGCCGGGACATAACCGTTGAAAGTAAAAGGACCATTTTTCTCCTCCATAGGATTACAAGGTGCGTAAGCCTATTTAAAATTTGTTACAGTTGGATACAGTTACATATATTTTTTATACTTCAATGAACAGTCACTGGCTGTCAGATGTGGTGTCTTTGTGAATATATTGGGATCAGAGAGTATTAGCAGCAAGTACATTTTAAAACTAATGTTTTGTTAAAAATAGGTGGGGAAAATTCTTAATTTTGGAGCAACCAGGGATTTTCTGTTTTATGAAGATCAATCATTCAGATATAGCTATTTGAGAAAATAAATTTTGGATTACTTATTAGAGCCTATTACATTCAAATTTTACCTTGGTAATAGGTGTGGAAATTTAATATTAAATAAATGTTAAGGTAGGGTCATCCTCATTTGTTTCCAACTCATTGCACTCTTTCAGTTGTTAAAGTTGTTCTGTTACCTTCATACTGTTAACTGTAGTGCATGCACTACCGTTTTATTTTACCTGTTTGTAGCACATGGTATTATCAACTACTTGTCTTTGAAAGTTCTTCTTTGTTTGACTTTTCTGTTATTGTCTTCCTTTAGGACTTTATGTTGTTCTTTTTTGGTACCAAAGATTGAACTCGGGGTGCTTAATCACTGAGCCACATCCTCAGCCCTTTTTTGAGACAGGATCTTGCTAAGTTGCTGAGGCTGGCCTTGGACTTATGAACCTTCTGCCTCAGCCTCCCGAGCTATTAAAGGTGTGGGCTACTGTGCCCAGCTTACTATGTTCTCGTTCTAAGCAGACTGTCTGTATTTGATGTCTTGGCTGAAAGTAAAGAAACCACCTAGAGTAGCGTAAACAGAGCAGGGAAGTGCGCGGCAGTGATTACGCAGATGCCGCTGTGTGTCTCGCAGTTTTCACTGTTGCCTTTTCCTTTGCTTCATACTTTATGTGGCCAGCTTCCTTTGCTTCTCTGTTCCATGTGGGGTAAAAGGTGCCTGCCCTGGAGCTCCCAGCTCATATATCTGGGTCCTGTTCCAAAAGAGATTCTAGTTGCAAATTCTAGATGCCACTCCAGAGGGGTAGCTGTGATTGATGTTCCACTATGTATCTTGTCAAGCATTAGGTAAGGCCAACTGTGATAGCCTTCTTTTATCAAAAGCATTATTGAGGTATTCCTTCACTAACTTAAAACTTTTTTAAAAAATGTTTATTGTTAAGTTTTAGGTGGACACAATATCCTTATTTTACATTTATGTGGTGCTGACGATCGAACCCAGTGCCTCGCGCATGCTAGGCGAGTGCTCTACCACTGAGCCACAACCCCAGCCCCTTAAAACTATTTTTTGCGTGATACTGGAAATCAAACCTAGTGCCTTGCAGTGCTCCATCCCTGAGCCATATCCCCAGCCCTAACTTAAAACTGGGTGTTGAGTCCGGGGTTGCTCTATTATTGAACTACATCCCCAGCCACTTTTATTTATTTTCTTTAGACAGAGGGTCCCTAAGCTGCTGAGGTTGGCTTTGAGCTTGCAGTTCTCCTTCTGAGCCTCCTGAGTAGCTGGAATTACAGGCATGCACCACCATTTAGAACTTTTAAGATAAGTCTCTAATACTCTAATTTTTATTCCATTAAATGGAAACAGATATGCCGTACATATTCATTGAATGTGGCAGTTAATTTTTTTCTTAGTTGTCTAAAATCAATTTTTGTGCTCATAGTATATTACAACATTTTCCATTAAATTAATAAAATATAATTGTAGATAAGGGTTAAAAGTATCCAAATACATAGATATTTAGTCCAGTTAACTCATATTTGGATGATTTTGGTTTTTCATTATTAAAGCTGAATTTCTAAAAGTTCCCAATATCTTAATTATAGTGCTCCTGATATGGAAGAAATACTCACTGAATCAGAAGTTAAATTGGATGGTGTCAGACAAAAAATATTGCAGGTAGCCCAGGAGCTGTCAGGAGAAGACATGCATCAGTTCCACCGAGCCATCACCACGGGTGAGTCTGCCTTCACCTCAGGGGAGCTTTGTTTTAGAAAAAATGCTACATGATTTATGTCTGAGTTGCGTGAATTTTAGTTGATATCTGATAAAATCACATTGGCTGTTTAAAAAAAAAAAACAGGGTCTTTTGGGTAATGTGAAGACCGTCTAAAAACATTCAGTTGGCTTTATTTTTCTGACTGTAACAATAGTTACTGATCTAATATGGTAATTGGAAATATAAAGGTAGTAGAATGAACTTTCTTTGTTTTATTCAGTAGACAGGGAATATCTCATTTCTCACTAAAGGAAAGTCTCATGGTGATTCTCAGTTTGTACTTTGGTAGTTCATGGAGGAGAGTGTGTCCCTTAGCTAGATGAACCCAAACGTCTCCCACTGTGACTCCATCTGGGAGCCTGGGGATAGGGTTGGGTTTTATCTGTTTATTTTAAAGAATCTTGGTGGTCACCGCTGTCCCATGAGTTGAATGAACATTCAGAGTTCTCAGTCCTTTCCTCTGTCCTCTTCTGAACCCAAGTCCATTGCTGGGAGAGGTGATGTGCCACCCAGGTGTACCCTAGGACTTGTAGCAGGGTTGGGACACGTGTTCACTTGTCTGTCTGCTCAGTGTGTGTCTAGTTTCAGCACTTGTTTCTCAGAAATGATGAATTGTCTTTCAGCTTTGGTGTCAGATGGTAGCTGCGTGTGCAGTGGGGTCTTGGAGGTGAGATGCACTGTTGGAGACTAATATGAAAGCCCAGGTCTGTGAGGAGTTGTTGCAGCCATTCCCAGAGGAGTTAAGGACCCAACTCTGTCATTTGTTAGTTCATATCAGGGGCTTATTGCCGGGTTTCTAATCTCCTGACTAAAAGGCTCAGGGGTCATTCCAGTTAAACTGGGCTAACTGGGCTGCACAAAATAACCACACAAGAGACACAAATACCTTTTTCTTTGGGCTGTGACGGCTCCTCTGACCTTAAGGGTCCGTAGAAAGAGAGAGAGCGAGAGCATGCGCTGACCCCTTTTATTGAGGAGAAGCTATTCAAATGAGGCAAGGGGTCAGGTTTCAGGGGGCTGAGTCTATCTTCATGATGTCCACTGTCAGCAGGTTGACTGACACCTGGGTAGGCCACACCCAAGGGCACAGTGAGAGAAGGGGACAAACACAAGGCACTTCCATGGAAGATTCTATCCTAAACAGGGCAAGGGGTTATATTACAAAGGAACAGGTCAGCATAGCCTCACCCATGGGGCTGTAGCAAGACACACCCATGCACGAGACACGACCCTCGCACCCAAGAAGGGTGCCACATTTCTGTGACTGAATGCCTCAGCACTCAGCTAGGGAGTGTGACCCAGTCATGTGCAAGGTTGGCCTCCCACAGCTTATTTGTTTTTAAATAATAGCCATCAGTAATGAGCGTGGTTTAATGCATTCAGTTTGTATTGTCAGAAGGTACCACCTCAGATCTAAGACGGATTTCACTAGGGTGAGAAGGCCAGAGATGTTGGTGGGAAGGTGAAGGGAAAGCTAAGCCCATCTTCTAGCAGAAAATATCTGAGATATCTTCATGACCTGGTGCGGGAAAGAGTTCAGAATGACAGAATACAGTACCTGTTAAAGAACAGTGGATCAATTGAATATCATTAAAGTTAAGGCGTTCTACAGGGATGAGAGGGGGGAGGGAAAGGGAGAGAGAAGGGAAATTGCATGGTAATGGAAGGAGACCCTCATTGTTATACAAAATTACTTATAATAGGAAGTGAGGGGAAAGGGAAAAAAAAACAAGAGCGAGAAATGAACTACAGTAGATAGGGTAGAGAGAGAAGATGGGAGGGGAGGGGAGGGGAGGGGAGGGGGGATAGTAGAGGATAGGAAGGGCAGCAGAATACAACATACACTAGTATGGCAGTATGTAAAAAAGTGGATGTGTAACCGATGTGATTCTGCAATCTGTATACGGGGTAAAAATGGGAGTTCATAATCCGCTTGAATTAAATGTATGAAATATGTCAAGAGCTTTGTAATGTTTTGAACAACTAATAATAAAAAAAAAGGCGTTCTATTTCTCAAAAGTTGTAAATAAGGAAGTGAAAAAGCAAGCTAAAACATGAGAGAAGACATTTAAAATACACGTTTGGATAAAGATTCTTACAAATAATCAAAAAGAAAAATATTGTAAAAATGAAGAAAAAACTTGAACAGAGGCTGTCCTCCCCACCCAAATAAAGACCGTCAAATGGCTGATGTACATATGAAAAAGTGCTGTTGTCCTGATAGACTGCATAACACAGAAGTAGGACCACAGTGAGCTCTCCTTGCCCCCAGTGTGGCCCAGTTATAGAGACTTAAAGGATGAGCTGGCGGCATCTGGACCTTAGCCTGCGCTGTACAATGCAGAAGACCTGAAGAGGCCCGGAGCATCTCTTGTCATAATGCCTGAATTGAACAGTGATCACAGTGTCCGTCAGTAGGAAAGTGGATACATGAATGACGTAGTTTTATGAAATCTACTACAAGCAATAAAAATGGCAAATATCTGCAGCAGTGTCACAGGAATCTCATGGTCACTGGGCAAAATAAGCAGGCCCAGAAGAGCACTTGTTGTATCTTTCTTCTTAGGTGGTATGTGAGTGCAGGCAGGTCTGATGTGGGAGACAGAAGGGAGAACAGTGGTTTCCAGGAAATGGAGTGGCCGGCAGGGTTGTTGACTAGGGGCACGAGGGAACCTCCTGAGGTGATGGGAATGTTTTACATTTTGATCTGGGTGGTTAGATAGATAAATACACGTGAAGATTCATTTATTGACTGGTGTAGTGCTGTAGGTAAACTGCACCTCATTTTTTCTTAAAACCAAGAAAAGCTAGTGCTGACACGTGAGTTCTTTGCTCCTTTACCAAGGGTGCTCTTTGCATTGGGGACCACATGGGCAGTGCTTCCCTTTCTGGCAGTGCTGTGGTACAGGTGTAGTGTGCTCAGTGGAAGAGCCATTCATTCTTAGGGGTGGTGCTCTCTGTCAAAACCTCTGGTGGCTTCCCTTGGCTCTCATTCCTGGCTGGTGGTGGGTTGGTATTGGTGGCCATCTCTGCCTCACACTCTTGTCCTCCACCTTTGCTCCTCCTAGTGGAGGTGCCTTGGGGAGAAGGTAAATTGGAACTCTGTCCAAAGTGCCCTGCAGGCCGCAGTTGTGTGTGTATCTTGTCAGAGATGAGGCAGGAGAAGCGTGTTTGTATCTGAGTGCCACGCTCAGAGATGAGGCAGGAGAAGCGTGTTTGTATCTGAGTGCCACGCTCTCAAGGGAGACCTGGTGAGTTACGGCCACCTCACCTCCCACAGCTGGAGCGCCAGCTGGAGCAGTGGAAAGGTAGCCAGTCTCAGTAGAAGCTGTGTTGGTTGTGCACTTGAAATCCTGAGGGACACTGGCTGTTGGGGTTGGTGCTGGGGAGCCAGGTTTCCAGAAAGACTTTGAAGCAGCAGCACAGCCTGTCTCACTGCATCACAGTGAGCAGAGTCTCAGTTGCAGGTCTGGAGCTTCCTGTTGGCTTGAGTGACTGAAGGCGAGTTTGAAGAGCTCTGTACTCCTGTCATTGTTTCCTTCACATCATGCAGGAAACCTGTCATACAAAAACTTAATGGCAACATATAAAAGCTGACCACAGTTGTCCCTACTTGTCACGTTGATCTGTCCTTAAAACTTGTATCTTTGCCTGGTGCAGTGGCGCATGCCTGTGATCCCAGCCACTCAGGAGGCTGAGGCAGGAGAATCACAAGTTCAGAGCCAGCCTCAGAACTTAGGGAGGCCCTTAGCAACTTAGCTGAGACCATGTCTCAAAATAAAATCTAAAAAGGGCTGGGGATGTGGCTCAGTGGTTTAGTGCCCCGACTTTAATCCCCAGTAACATACATACACACGTATATACTCTTGTGTATCTTTATAAAAACTTGTGTGTTTTCCTCACAGTTTTGGTGTTGCAAAGGTGAAAAGTGATGTAGTTTTTCTTGAGTGGATCAAGCTTCCCGGTTTCTTACCAGGTTATGGCTATGCTCTGTTCTGCACTATTCCCCAGGCACTGAGTGGGACATCTGAGATTTGGCCCATTGGCTCTACTTGGCATGTCCTTCACTTAACTCACAGGTGAGGGGTGGGGAAAGAGTGCCAGCAGCCAGGGCCACGTGCATAACCACTCCAAAGACACCTTGCAGCTCTGCGGTGTGGCTTGCCTTGGTTGCCAGTGATGTTCCTCAGGTTGGGAGGGAGTGGGATGGGCACAGCTGTTCTAGACTTCTGTTCACTGTGTCACTGAGGACGCTCGTGCATACCTTGTCTGTTTCAGGCCCTTATTGGAGTTTTCTTTGAGAAGAACCTACTCTTGGATTTTAAAAAGTAGGGATTTGATTCCTTATAGCCCACTTTGCTGCAGAAAGTCCTTAAAATTATTTCAGTTGAAGCAATAAAGATTTTTAAAGTTAAGGAATAAAACAGTCAAAGAGTATCCAGGACTTAAAAATTTTCTGACATTTATTTAATAAAATTGACTATTTACAATTAGAGTGTGTTAACAATAAGGTGCTTACGAATTGCCTGCTGCTTGTCATTGTTACGTGTTTGTTTTGGTGTTACTCCAAGTAGTTGTTCTTTTGACTTGGAGATAAAACAGTTCTGGCATTGAACTAAAGGAGTTCTGGGCCTATTAAGTATAGTGGCACACAGACCATTTCCTAAGGGGTATTGCGGAGTACAGACATGAGTATCCTTGTGTTGAACAACAGCAAAACCCCGTAGGTCTGTTTCCTACACATTGCTTTCTTTCCTTTTAGTTGGTTGGCAGTACTGGGGATTGAACCCAGGGCGCTCTGCCACCAAACTCTGTCCCTAGCCTTTTTAAAATTGGTACTGGACCCAGGGGTGCTTTACTATTGAGCTGTACCCCCACACCACCATAATTTTTTGTTTTTTTGATTCAGGGCCAGGCTGGCCTGAGACTTGTAGTCCTCCTGTACTCCCTGCCTCCCA